CTTTTAAGATTTGTGGCTTATTCAAAAAGATGTATTGTCTATTCAAGCTTTTGAGATTTATGGCTTATTCAAAAAGATATATTGTCCATTCAAGCTTTTGAGATTTGTGGATTATTCAAAAACATGTATTGTCCATTCAAGCTTTTAAAATTTGTGGATTATTCAAAAATATGTATTGTCCATTCAAGCTTTTGAGATTTGTGGCTTATCAAAAATATGTATTGTCCATTCAAGCTTTTGAGATTTGTGGATTATTCAAAAAGATTTATTGTTCATTCAACCTTTTGAGATTTGTGGCTTATTTAAAAAGATGTATTGTCCATTCAAGCTCAAAAAGATGTGTTGTCCATTCAAGCTTTCAATTCAAACTTATGTTATAAAAGAGCATACAACACATTAGTTTTGAACACATCTCTTCTATTTCCTCTTAGAAAGAAAAAAAGCATATATATCTTCTTCATTTGTGTTACAAAATGACTACACAACGAAGTTCTTCGTACACAAATGAAGAAGACATGCATCTATGTCATATTTATCTTGATGTTTCTCAAAACCCGATTTTAGGTATAAACCAACCTAGTGATCCATTCTGATCTCGAGTTGAGCTTAACTACAATAGTTCCAAACCTGTGTTTCTCACTCAAGATCGAAACAAAAGATCTTTGCATTGTCGAATGCAACTAATCTTTAAAGCTATTGGCAAATTGAAGGGATGTGTACGTCAAATTGAAAATATGAATCCAAGTGGTGCTTCTGAGCAAGATATTGTGAGTATTTGTTCCATTTAATTAATTTTTTTTATCAAATTGATTTTAACGTTATATGTAGGGCTGTTAATGAGCCGAGCCGAGTTTTTGGCTTAACGAGCTCGACTCGTGAAAGTATAAAGAATTCAAACCGAGTCCGAGCCGAGCCGAGTCTTTAATTTCCTGACTCGGCTCGACTCGTAAAGAGAAAAAAAGATTTCGAGCCAATAAAAGCATGCAATTTTTTTTTTTAAATTCGGTGTAGATTTTCTCTCGCTCATTTATTACTCTTTCTTTTCTCTCACTCATTTATGACTCTTTCTCTATCACTTCTTTTTTATTGATTTGTTTCTTCTTTTCTCTCTCTCTCCAAACTACAATGGCTCACGGTTTCTCTCTTCTTCTTTTTTTCCCTTTCTTTCTCCTGTTTCCCTTGCTCTCTCCAATCTCCACCAACTCTGAAGTTATTCTCTTCCTCTTCTCTTTTGTTACTTATTACTTTTGGCTTTCTCTTCTTTTCTCTCCCTTTGATGACGCATGTTTTCCCTATTTTCTCTTTCTTTCCTTCTTTCTCCTTTTTTCCTGTTTTCTCTTTCGTTCTTTCATTCTTTATCCTTGTTTCTCCTACACTCTCCACCAACTCTAATTTATTTCCTTCTTTCTCCTTGTTTCCCTACACTCTCCACCAAATCTAACATCGACAACTTCCCTAAAATGGTTTGGTTTGGTTTGGTTTTAGGGGAAAGGATTTAGTCACGTTTTTAAGGATTTTAACATCAGGGTGTTCTTTGTCATTTTTGCAAACTTTTTGTTTTAAAAATTTTAGTTTAATCCCCTATACTTAAAACACCCCTAATAATTCGAGCCTGGCTCGGCTCGCGAGCCTAACGAGTCGAGCTAAGGCAGGCTCGAACTCGGCTCGAACTCTCACAAATCGAGCCAAGCCGGCTCAATTCCAGACAAGGCGAGCCGTTAACGAGCCGTACTCGAACCGAGCTGAGCTGACTCATGAGCAACTCGCCTCGTTGAACAGCCCTAGTTATATGTATATTGTTTTGTAAATGATTCAAGCCAAAATGTTACTAGCACAAGATAAAAGTTACAAGAAAGGGTTCAGATTTGATCATGTCTGGCCTATACTTAAGGATATTGAAAAATTTACAGACAATGTTAACACCGCAAAAGTATTTCAAAGGCAAACCAGTAGGTTTGTATCACAAGAGTCAGAGACTCCCACTTCAAAGTCTCCCAAATTGGTGTCTTGTGACATGTCTTCATATTCTCTAAACATAAATATGAAGATATTGGGGATAGTTCAGCTCAACGACCCATTGGGGTGAAGAAAGCAAAATTTAAAAGGAAAAATGATGAAGAAGTTTCAATTAGTATTGAAACTATTCAAGAAGAAAATTGACAGCTCGTTGCTATTTTCAATCGGGGCAACTCAGCTAGGGCACAAAATTATGAAATCCAAATGAAAAAATTGGCTTTGGCAGAATATCGAGAAGATAACAAAATTTTCTTCAAAGATTTGAATTCCATAACCAATCCAAGCCTACGTGAGTTTTTTTCAAAATGAGCAATCAAGAATTATGTAAAAAAGAGCTCAACAACAAGGTCAATGATCTCAAAATAACTCTAGTTCTTTCCAATATTTTGATGATCTTAGAGAATCCGGAACTAATCTACCAGAATACTAAATTATTATTTTAGTTTATGTTGTATTTTCTTTTAATTTTAGTATTTTTAAATTAGTGTTAAATTTTATTTTGAATTATTTTAGTTTAATATTTGCATTGAATAAAGTTTTATTTTTAATTTTTCATTATTTTTTGAATTATATAATTATCATGAATTTATTATTATAAATATTAATATAAATAATAATCAAATTAACTTAAATACAAATAACAAAATTTAAATAACAAATATATATATTACTGTTTGAACAGTGCCACGCTAAATTGGTGTTCATGAACAGTGCTACACCAAATTTGGCTTGGCACTGTAACTGGGCACCAAATTGGTGCAGAAAATGGCGCTGGATTGGAGGTAAGTTTCACGCTATTTTGGTGTTTTTTTCACCAAAATAGCTTTGGGTTGGAGATGCCATTTGTTGAAGTGAAGCCGCTAAAACACTATCGCATGGTGCTTAAAGTGACTAAGTGATGCGTTGCCGTTTTGGGTTTTCTGCTTGAATGAATCCTAAGCGTTGATTTCATCTGATCCAATGGCTACTCTTCTCCATCTAGTCAACATTATATAAGCAGCCCCCAAACTGCAGTTTTACAATCAGTCTTCTTCTCTCTTTCGTGAATAACGAGTGCTCTCTAAGTTTTTCCATTTTCAGTCCAAAAATCAGTGTAGCTTCAGTGAGTGAGTGATTAGTTCTTAGTCATTCTGTGAGGATTGTTTGTTCTCTCAAAGATTAGAGATACCAGGAAGAGTTTCTCTAGATTAGGAGTTACAAAGTGAGTTTTGGTTGTATATAAGTTAAAGATTGATTGATCTTTGTTCTTATAAATTATAAGTTCTTGATTAATTAGTGCAGTAAGCCCCAAATATTCTGGAGCTCAACGTGAATATAGTCTATCCAATCTTGGATAGGTGAATCACGGTAAAAACCTTGTGTTTGTTCTTGATTGTATTATTGTGTGGATTGCTTTGGCTGTGTGATTGATTAATATTGGAGATTGATTATTAGGCTTGAATCTTAACACCCTTACATCTTCTTACACTATTCATTTATTCTTTCCGTCTTATTCTGCTTCACAGTTATCGCGTCTCTCTCGTGCTTTCCACTTTCCACTTTCATCTTTCTCATATTTGACTTTTAATTGGCCAAGGAGGTGTTATTGTTTAGAAGAAAAAAAACTTACCACATCAATTATACCATAAACCAATAATTAGGGGTGTTTGATTCTGGGTACTCTACACTTTTTGAGGGAACTGGAACCAGAACCGGAACCGACGGTTCCTTAAAATTTGGAACCAGAATCGAAACCGACAGCTCTAATTCCTAGATACTCAAAACCAGAACCTCTAACAACGGTTCCGGTTCCGGTTCCGGTTCTGGGTACCCTGTAAAATTCATGACCCCCCAAAAGTTTTTAAAATGGCCAAAAAAACCCTTAAAAACTTGTAAATACCTCCTACTTGGTACTTGTTAACAAAAATAAAATTACAAATTATAAATTCAAAATTACAAACTCCATTACTTTGTAAAGGTAGATTCTCAAAAGTTAAACCAACTTACTTTAAATATTATGAAATATAAATATAAATATATTCACATTACTTTTTTTACAAAAATTTTCATTAACCCCCCTAATCTTTAATTTTATTTTATATTAGTCTCAGTTCCTGGTTCCTGGCTCTGGTTCTGGTTCCTAACTATAGGAACCTCAACCGCAACCGCAATCGGAATCGGAACCGCACAGTAACGGTTCCAAAAATTTGGAACCGCACAGTAACGGTTCCAAAAATTTGGAACCGGAACCTACCCATTGACGATTGGTTATGGATAGGAACCAGAACCAAACTCAGGGTACCCGTCGGTTTCGGTTTCAGCCGGTTCTTTTGAACACCCCTGCCAATAATGATATTTCAAAATATCATCTTTTTTTTTTTATCAATTAATATAACAATAAAGTTTGGCTCACAATACAATCTTATAAATTTTCTCTAACTGATGTGACAACTTACAATTAGACAAACAAGACTTGTTATTGAATAGGTGAAACTCATTGTAAACTGACACATCAGAGTTATAAGAAAATATTTATAAGATTGAATTATAAGTGTAATATTATCTTAATGATCCATAAAATGTGTATGTATTAATTTGTGAGCCGCTCAAATCTTCTTCCAAAATCAACCCGATCAAGGAAAAGTGGAAAACAGTAAGGATGGCCGAAAAAGAAAACTGGGTTGGCCCATGTTCGATTGTACCGCTCAAAATGTCACCTCACGGCCTCACAAGAATTTTCACAATAACAAAACACAGCCTAAATCCAACTCACTGGCAGTGACCGGATTCCACTTCCAATCCAAATAAATTAATCCAATCCAAATAAATTAATGCAGTCCAAACTAATATAAATAAATTGATCATTTGGTATGAAATACCAAGGCATCCATAGTTTATACTAGTTCAGAAGGTACTGTAAAAATATAAATTCTATTACAGTGATTTTAAACTATTTCAAATTTCTGGTTTTTTTAGTTAATTTATATACAATAAAATCAACCAACCTTATCGAAATTGTCTAATACTTCTTTCACCCGATCAAGCTCAGCAATTGCTTCAGAAACGTGAGACTTCGTTACTTGGTTGGAATTTAGCATTGTTATTCTGCCAATCTGCAGCATGTTGGCACTAATCTTTTTATTATGAACAATTATTATAGAATCAAAAGACCAAATAGCAGTCAAACAACAATATCTAGCAAAATGATGACATCAAAATTTCATTATACATTTAAAATAAAATAAACAATAATTAATTCGTCTTATAATAGTAATACTGTAAAAGAATGTAAATATAATAGAAGGACAACACACACGATGGCAGAGTTAATCCTGAACTCTTACTTGTATTAATGTAAAAAAAATGTAGTCTTTTATTTTATTTAGGGATTGATTTTCATGGTTGTTTTATTTTTATTTTTTTTCTTTTTTAATTTTTCGTTTATTAATTAGAATTTTGTTTTAGGGCCTTGCTATATATAAGGGTATTTTGTTGATTTGTTATTAGACAGGATGGTGAATAGAATTGAGAGTAACTTCTATTGTTTCCTCCATTCCTTTATTTTTTCTCCCGTTTCTTGTATTAGTCTGCCCTTCTCATTTCTTCTGTGATTTTTATCCTTGGTTTCCATCACAGGAGGTTTAGTACAGAGATATAGAACTAATTATGCAGTGTGTACACCTTATATAATACTAGCAAGTTTACATGATACCAAAATAGTTATCTTTTGCACTTCATTTACCTATTAACAGTATACCATCTTTTTACACATCCTAATACAAGTGAAATATACTCTTGTAGCCATCGATCATTTCTCTGTCAGTTTCTTTCGAATTTCTCTGATTTGATCAAGTTTGCATTCTATAATATAGCAGAGATAATTTTAGGAGTCGAATCTGTCAAACAGCATACCTGAATATGGTTGGGAGGAAGTAAGCTTTTCCATTTTCCAAGCATCTAGACACATGTAAGGAAATATGTAAGAAATCAATTTACTTACCAATTGATAATCACTTTTGTTGTTCATCATATAATTACCGATTTACCTTTCAAAAAGTTCTTGTTCTTCTCTTAAGCTCCCAGTTGATTGTAGGGTCAGGGCCTGCCCTTCAACGGAAATTACTGTCTCCGTTGAATTTCATCCCTGTTGTAAAAGTTTGCAACTATGGAGGTAAATGATGATGACAAAAGATATATATTTTGAGTAAAACAGGAGGCAAGCGCGCCTCGGTATACCAATGACCAATAATGGTGCACTTTACTAAATTATAATAAAAAAGAAAAAGGAAAAAAATTGAAAAAACTGCGGTTTGAGTTGTCCACACTGCACCTTTCGTACACAGTCTGCAATATAGTCATCACGTGCTGCAGGATGAATGTTGTCTAAGAGAGCAAAATGCTATGCTTTAATGGTGAAAAGTTTTCCTATTAAACTACTTTAAAGCTTCAAAAAGAAATTAAAAAAGAAAAGAAACAGACATCGGTAACCAAGATACATAATCCTCAAGGTAGATTGGTCACATGAATCAACTTTGGTCTAAATCGCCTCTTATTCTTTCCTTGCCATGATGGCTTAATTTAGGCCTCCCTATGCAGGTATCCACATCATCCTCTAGGGATCTTGGGCCTGTACTGTTAAATGAATGAAGTATACGACGTCGTTTTAACCAGGAAACAAAACGCTGTCGTTTTGTTTAATATCCCAAATGAATCTCAGCCATCAACGATAAAGAGAATCCAACGGCTCAAATGCGTTCAGAAGTCAACAGTATAAAAGGGGGACTATTCACGCATTAAGGGTAATCGAGTTTTAGGTTTTTCGTTTGATCTTTCTCTGTAAATTGGTTTGTGGTCTGTGTTAGGGTTCCATACTCATTCTGGGTTTCTTCTCTGTGTGAATCCAACTAGAGTTGTGTTTGAGGGCAGGGGTTCCTTGAAGGTTATAGAACACTCTAGGGTTGTTAGGATTTGCGGGATACAGGGAGTGAGTGAGTGTTTGTTTCTGGGAATATTAGTGAAGAAGATTCTTCTGTAAAGTGTAATCTTTGAGGAAATCAATACTAGTGCAGCGAGCTCCATATTCTGGAGTTCAACGTGGATGTAACTTGTTCTATCTTGAACAAGCAAACCACGGTATATCTTGTGTTGTGTGAGTGTGCCTTATTCTTGCAGATTCTGGTTTGTTTTGTGGCTAATCTTGCAGGTTGAAGATTGTTCTTGATTTACAACATGTACATTCCTTATAGTCTATCGCCTTCAGCTTTGCATGTAATTCTCTATTGTCTTGGATAAAAGTTAGCACTTCAGACCCTAGATTGCTAGTTTTACCATGTACTACTTTCCATCTACCGTAGTCTTTTTCCCAAAGGTTTTGTAGGAGTTCTCAATTTCTTGCAACTTAGAATGGTGGTTCTGTTGTCATTAGTTTGATTGTTAAAAAGCTTCGTAAAGTGACTTCTAAATCATGTTCCTATGGATGGTGTCAGATATTGAGGGTGAAATTTCACAGAGCATTGTGAACCTGAAGGGGAGCACGGAGCACCATTCTTGCAAAAATCAAAAAGTAAAAAAATAAGTCAAAGGATCCCAGGAGCATTGTTGACTTAAGCTCTTTAGCGCTCTAAAATTCTAAATAATGAATCTAGCGGAGTATTAGAAAGATTTGTGAATAATTAGCATGTCTAGAATATCATGCAAAGCTTGCATATGTAAAGGGTTTATTGATGGCAATCACCTTTTAGATAAGCAAATTTATAAGGTAACGATTCTCAAGGGGAAAGTACTAAAAGATATAAAGGATTTGATTTCAATTCCATTTAAGACTTATTTTAAGAAATATTAGCTTTATACCAAAAAGAAAAAAAAAATGACTTGGAGACTTCTTCTGTAATCCTGAACTTACTGGGGCTGATTTTGCATTCAATGATCCAGTGTCGCCCTACTCACTGTTGACAGTGAGCATACTTCCAAGCTAAGGTGAGGTCATGGATCCTTCTTGGCTCCTCACTCCTCAGGACCGGGTACCTCCAAGGCAACCATCTAGTCTCCAATCATGCCTGTACTTTGGGAGAGTAAGATGCCTTAGTTCCAACTAGAGTACAATTACTGAACAGTATTCTTTGCAATTTTTTTACATAATGTTTTCTGCTAACATAGAAATTGCAAGAAAGTGAAGATAAATGAAGCAGTTAAAGGCTCAAAACTCACTTGAATTCTTTGATGGGTCAAATTTAGTACTTTTATTGTCACAGGATAAATTATTTGAGTAGTGATTAACAGTAAGGACTCTTTGGACAAATTTTTAAACAATGGGGGCTTCTGGTAATTTGATTTAGACAACATATATGTTGCCTTAGATCACTAGGAAAAAATTAAGAATGTATTAGCTCTTAGCTCTTCTTTCCTAGTACCAATTGTGCTACCTGTCTTAATAAATTTACTGTAAAATAAAAAGAATAACATTGAGAAGGCTGAAAACTCAAAAAATAAATAAATAAATAAAAGAAGGCCAACCTTTGATAACTCCATAATATGTAGGATTTTCCTCTGCACATTCTCAGCCTCTTCAAGTCAATTGGCTTTTAAATAAATCTAGAAAGAAAAGAAACAACATAACTAGGTGTCTAGAGAAAAATTGAGAAGCACAATTACTAACTAAACAGAATAATATGGTACTCAAATATGTTAAAATCACATAATATGAGATGTACCTCTTTATAAGCTAAGTCAATTTTCTTTGGTGTCTTTTTGAAATTAGGTAGAAAAAGAAATTCAATTATATTTAAGAATCAAGAAATTGAAGTAGCTGACAAATTTAACCTGAGCAAGACATCGCAACCTCCTTATGCATGTCATCGACTCCCCTTGACCAGCTTCCTACATAATCAAACTATTCAGTGAGACCAACAACATCAATTCTTATGGTGCATAAAGCCCAAAAATCAGCACTACAAGTAAAACTTTGATGCACCTCTAATATCCTGTCAGAATCCCGAAAAGGTGTTGGGAGATTATCAAGGAAGATATAATGAAGGATTGTCAGGAATTTCATAAAAAAGGCAAAGTCAATAACTTACCAATGACAGTATTATTGGCCTAAGAAACAGTCAGTCAAGGTAGGGGATTCAAGGCCCATCAATCTTGTCACCAGACTTTACAATTATAGCAAAAATTCTATATCCAGTTGAAAAAAGTCCTATTAGACATATTTCTACTGCAAATCAGCTTTTATCAAAGAGAAGGACATTTTTTATGTAGTGTACGAAGAAAAAGAAAGCAATATCATGATGAAAACTTGCTTGAGAAAACCTATGTTAATGTGTATTGGATTTCATGAACTTGTAACAAGCCAAGGAATTTGGAGCAATGGAGAAGATGTATTCATAGCTGCCTTCCTTAATTTAAAAAAAAAAAAAAAATGGGTACTGTAAGCATTCCCTATCTCAATATACAAATATATGTATATATTTATGCATGTATAGAATTGTTGTCATAGTATTCATATATATTTATGCCATACCATATATCTTCAGGACCAAATGAGGACTCCAGTATGTTGATGACCTCCAGATATAAAGGTTCTGCTTTGTCAAATGGCTTCTTAACTCTTAACAGCTCTGCCTAAAAGGATAACTGAAAAAGGCAATGACTTCTATATAAATAAAAGTGCAGCAAGAAAATAGAAAAACCTCTGTTAAAGCATAATTAATTTATCAACTTCACAATTTTCTAATTACCTTCAATGACTACAGAAAGATATGTAAGATATACCACCTATGCTCAGAGTGACTGTCAATTGCTTTTTAGATCATTGTATACTGGAGGCAGAGGGTTCAAAAACACACCCTAGGCTTTGAACCTTACAACATGTATATAATTGAGAAAGGCAATTCAAGAAGGAAACTTTCAGCCAATGCAGATGCTAAAATTACTGCTCCTAATATTTACTTGCTTTTAGCACAAAGTGATAGCTGGTTATGCCTAATACAACTGAAACCAACATGGTAGCTCGAAAGGGACACTGGTTGCTTATGTTTTGGCTAGCAAGATAATCTTTCTGGATGTTCTTTCCCTGATTTTGTGGGAGGGCAAAGTGGAGCACACTCTAAGAACCGGTTTCCAAACTCAGGACCTCCCTAATGACACTTAACACCAACTGTCTATCTGGGTAGTATCTCTGCTGAGATGAATACCTCTCTCTTTTAGGACTATCTTTCCCAGCTTTTTTAGGGTTAGGAAGGAGGGACACATCTTGAGGATAGGTTCTAAAATCAAGGTTCTGCTACACACCAAGCTTTACTACGAGCACATAAACTAATCATCATCCTCAGCTCACATCATAACCACCAATCTTACTACCATCTCAAGACTTGCAAACAGTTCCATGAGCATGTAGCAGATTCAGTTACCACAAACTGTATATACAAAAGACTGGCTTCAATAATGAACTCATCTTGACTAAGAGTAATCATCCAAATAATTTGGGGATGGTTACATAATTATTTCTAATACATTCTGCATTCTCAACCATATTTTGCTTAGTTGTTTAAAAGCTAAATTGTTTCTTACTACTTCTATGTGAATAACTTTTTCTCTAACATTTCCCTTCTTATACCTACCACTTAAATGAAGTCACTCTTCCCTATCGGTTCATCTCTAGGTCTTATATCGCATATGACCTAACCATCTCCACCAACCTTCACTCACCTTACATTATACAATCAGCAATCGTTGCACAGTTGTTCATAACTTGAAACTCTCAGAAATTCTTCATATCTTGCCATTAAAAGCAATCACTAGATCAATATTCATAATCTCTAGAGTAGAGTCTGTACCAGTTAATCATCTATTCAGAAGTCTATATTGCAAGATTTCAAAGAGAAGGGGCCTATTATACTATCTTGACAAGTGTTGAACAGCACGGGGGAAAAGAAAAATGAACTGCAATCTAACAAAACACAAAAAGTAATACAACGTAATCATTCGGAAAACCCAACAATTACTAGAGGAAGCCAAAAATTTTGTTCAAACGTAATTAATAAATTAAAATTTTTAAAATTTTTACTATCTAAACAAGCAATTACTTGACATTGTTAATGGAGTTTTAAAATTATATTTCTCCAATCCATTTCCTAATACACTCTGCAATTCTCAAAACCATATTATATGTGAAGATAAATAGTTTAATGGCCACAAGCAAAATCTGATACTTGAAGCATCTAAATAGTAGACCAACCAGATTGTTACATGTGGATCCCTCTCTACAAATACTGCTTTGGCTTCTTGTAATGCGGAGACAAAAAACTTCTCAGCTCCCTCCATTCTTTCCAATCAAAAAGAATATTCTGAATAAAACAGCTAATTTATCTATATAAAGCAGCTGTATGTAGGTGACTAAGCTTGCCTGCATGAAAAAATTGCTCCCATTATCTGTAAAAATTCGCCATTTAGATGTGTGTGTATTAGATATCACAGAACCATCCACAATTTTCTGTAATCCAATTACATTGGACCCTTCTAGGTTACTTTGAGGGCTTGATTGAATTGAACCATCTCTGCTATGAAAATTCTGGAATTTATCCCCAACATTGTGGCGCAAACCAAATCAGCTTTGCACTGAGACATTTATTTGAAATTTTTATTTTCTGTCATAAAACAAGGCCCAAAACTAAATCAGAATTCTTCATAAACAGAGGATTCAGTTCTCAAAGAAGATACTACAGTGATGTACAAAAAAACACGACAATAGCGCCATATATTTTATCAACACTAACCTCATGCACATACATTACTCATTTCCCAAATCTCAGTATACTAACACTCCCAGCCAACAGCATGACAAAGCTACAGAAATGAAAGTCAGAATACTGAAACAATATTCGGTGATTTGTTCTGTAACTTATCTATTCTTGATCTTGCTCACACATTTCGCAAATGAAATCCTTTCTAAGCATACATGATTACTTTTGCTACTTCAGAAGAAACTTAAAAATATAGATAACTATTATGAGAAAAATAGTTATATTAAAAAATTGTGACCCAAGGAACTGAGAAAGAAGTATACCAGCTTGACCGAACAAAAGAATCCATAGAAAAGAATCTTCTTGACGTTTTCTCTGCGTATAACTTCCAAAACCATATTGATAGAAGAATTTCATTTTGCCTGAAATGATGATAAGAATGATAACTAGAAAGGCTAATTTATTCCAACCAGTTAATGACAAATAATTAGCACAAATTATAGATCAAATAAAAAAAGTACTACCAATGCATAAGGTTGACATAGTTTCACCAACCAGAAAACAAGAAATTATATCACAAATGCATGTAATAAAGTGAAGAATTGGAAGTCTTTAAATAAAATTGTTAAGCCTTAAAAACCGATTTCTTAGAAGATATTACTTTAAAATCAAAATTTCATTTTAACATAATCTGATGATGGAAACGCAAGATTTTATAATTTCATGAGTGTCTACACAATTTCAAGATTAAAGACGAAATATTAATTAGGTTAAATTAATAGTAGAATATATAGCTCATGAGTGTGAATCAGATTATGGTCTGTCATGTTAAACTAGGTTAATTTATAGTAGAATATATAGCTCATGAGTATGAATCAGCATTCTCAGGCTTTACAAGGAAAATAGACCCAAGAGAGCATGTAGACACAAAAATCTTTAGAAGCCCATGAACTGCAAAAAAACATCAAATAAAAGCAAGATTGTAACTCCACAATTTCAATATTGAAGATGGCATACCATTCTTACACTAAAATAGAAATTGACCAAGAAAACGTGTAGAAAACATAAAACCTTTTGAAACTGGCAACTGAAAAACTTAAAGCAAAAAAAACTACACAATTTCAAGATTAAAGATGACATACTCAATCTTGATTAATTTTGAATATATAGACACAATTCGCCACACTCTTAGTTACAAAAATAAATAAACGAGAAGAAGTTCCTTCAATGCCCAAAAACAGCGAAAACTCCAATAAGAACAAGTTTCATGG